GCAATTGGGTGTACAGGTTTTTGAAAGTGTATCAGAAAGTTTGACCCTGAAGGCTGCATCAGTTGAAGAAATGGAAGCCAAGCAGTCAACAATCATTTCCCAAATATCTCAGAGCACGAAGATCTCTGTGGCCACTGCTTGGGAAATGAAAGATGTCCTTCCAAAGATTCTCTTGCAGCTCAGAGACCTAACTGTGAAATGTGGTGACACTGCTCAGTTCATATGTGCCTTAGAAAATGAATTCTCTGAGTTTATTTGGGCCCATGAAGGTGAAAGGATAGAAGTGTCTGAAAAACTGAAGATAACACAAAATGGAAGTGTCCTACTGCTCACAATTCTAAACACCCAGCTGACAGATCAAGGATTGTACAGTTGTACCGTATATAATGATTACGGAGGGACATCAACTGCTGCAATACTAACAGTCAAAGGTGGTTATCTGACTTTTCACATTATGACTTACCTTTTGCAACTTCATTATCACTGCCTACAGCTCACTCACGTTTCTTTTATTATCAGTATTTAATTGAGAAAGCTCTAGTAATGTTGCTTTGGGGTTTTTTTCCTTCACATTTACAGCTCTATGCGTAAGTGGCATGCACAACCAGGAAGCTGGTATTGTAACTTCGTGCCTCTTCCCAGCAAGTCACAGTTTAAGGAAGATAAGAATGTCAGATAAGCAATGTAGAACTAGATATCTGGTCATTCCAAACTTTATGGGTCCAACTTGTTTCCAGTAAATCCAAGGTTCCAATTCTGAGGTTGGCAATATATGTCAATGTACTTGGAAGGATTAATTGGTGCAAGTATTGTATTATTGCACTAAAGAATTGTCTTCTACCTTTCACTCCTGCTGAGGTATAAGTATTTATTTTTGTAAGGCTCCTTCCACTTCTTCCTGATATCAACATATTAAAATGTTAGTAGTGTTATCACTAGTGAAGACCCAAAAATATATTATCACCACACTGGACAGGTGACAGTATTTCTGCTGAGCTCAAAGGAATCAAGAGTAGAAAACAAATATAAATAATTAGGAAGACATTGACCCTGTTGATTTGGCTCTCACATATTGAAGTTTCTTTCTTCACTCTTGAGCTGTGCAAAATGCTTTATGTAATCTTCTGCTGGTACTTTCTAAATTGAGGCTCTCAATTAAAAGCAAAGATGTGTTTGTGTTATGCATTACAGACCCAGTCTTGGTCCCATGAAAAGTCCTGTAGGCTTAATTGACACCTAGAGTTAGCCCAGCAGGAACAGAGCTCTTAAATGTGTAATCACTCATGTTTAATAGCATTGTTGTAGTGCTAATATGCTGGACATTCTTTCAATGCTAGTTGTTGGGTTTTTTTCCCCCTAAGTATAAGGATATTTTTTATTCCTGCAAAACGTCTGACCTAATCCTTTTCCTGACTTTATTCTTACCTAGCAAAAGAAGCACAAGCCAAAGCAGTAACAAAAATTACCCTTGATTCAGATACTAAAAGCTTTAAAGCAGGCAAAGATTGTCAGTCTAAAGCATCTGAAGTTAAGGAAGAACCTTCCAAGAAAACCTCAAGCTTGTTTATATCTACATCCCAAAGACCATATGAAACTGAGAAGCAAAGAAACAAAGTCTACTATCCCGATGTTGTGCCGTGTGAAGACATCACAGAAACTGATGCCGAAGCACCAGAGTTTCTTGAAACTCTGCCTTCAGAAACCACTGTAAAAGAAGGAGATGATGTGTTACTCTTTTGTATAATGAAGGGTGTGCCTACGCCTTGTGTGGTCTGGCTGTGCAATCAGCTAATAGTTGAGGAGTCTCCATTGTGTTCCTTAAAACATGATGGGCCACTGTGCAGTTTAAGATTGTTGAAAGTTGGTCAAAACCACAAGGGTATATACAAGTGCAGAATAGTTAATTCTGCAGGACAAGCTGAGTGCAGCACCCATCTGAGAGTGACAGGTTGGCAACTGCATGTTCCTTCCAAGTATCAATTCCTCATGCATAGCATCACTGCATTCCAGTACATTCATTCCCTGGGAGATGATTAAGAACAAGAAGCATCCCATTAGTCTGTGGATTGTTGAGTGTTTTCTTCAGAGTCTTAAGGCATGATAAAGGCATGTTACATTAGGAACTTTACCCCATCCTGCAAAAAAGAAAGCAAGTCTGACAGAAAAGTGTACATTGCGAACACATTTGAAAGCATTTGATTACTCTGTTCTCAAAATTTATCAAATGTTTGAATTGCTTGGCATGCATTTATGTTTATGTATGTGTGAATTTCTGTATATTTGCAAGAGAGATTGTATGTTTTTACTGTATAATTTGTTGATTGGCATATTTAGCAAGTATAGCTCAAAAATCTTTGTCTTTTTATTCTAGCTCCTGAAAAAATTATTCATGAGAAGCTAGAGGAAGAGATTGAAATGGAAGTGAAAGGTACAGTCACCAATGATGTTACACTGAATAATTATTACCAGTAATTAGTAATATTGTGAAAAGCTTTTATCTGCTTACTTCTAGTGTCTGATGGGGAGAGAAAGACACACTTTAAAGCATATTGGAACATGTTGCATGTTTGTTTTGATATGCAAAGGATTACCTGCATTACAAGGTTATTTAAGTTTTAAAATATGTTTAAAACTTCAAATTTATAATTATGCAGCCATATTCTTAGCTTTTACTTCATGCTTTGCAATTGTTCACGGAGCTTTTATTTGTTCAATTTCGTTTTGAATGCATGGAATAGTTTACTTCAGAAGGAAGTTATACAAATGTTAATCATATTATTTTTAAACAAGTTAGCAAGCTAACATTAATCAGTTGGACACTGTTGGACGGATGGATGAAATATATTAGAAAGCATTTGTTGTTTAGGATATGTGAAAGCTACACATTCCCATTGATTCCTTGCACTTTTTTTTATGTACATTAATTCATCATTATACATCTCTTACCCTGGCTTGCAGATAGCATATGTGGTTCATGTTGCTTGCTTTTTTCTCTGTGCATAACACTGTGAAGTTAGTGGCTGTATTAGTTCGAATAAACGCCTTCTCATTTCATGTTAGCTAATTACTTACTTTTTAAAAATATATTTCAAAATATTTTTTCTCAATTGTTTGAACATTTAATCTACAAACAGAAGGGTCAGAAAGGGCGTTTATTCTACTGTCTGCAAGTCAGGTAAGATTTTCTTCTTTGCCACCCAAAGACACGCAGCTTTTCCAGGCAGCAAAAACATACACACAGAAGAACGTGTTATTTTGAAATTCATTTTTGCTTGTTCAAGAAGAAATTTCCACAGTCTGAAGAAAGAACAGACAACGAACGATTTTCGTGTCAATCTTTAAAACAGAGCAAGGCGTTGCGTTTATTCGAACAAATATGGTGAGTGAATTACTTTTTTTTCCTGGGTGTGTGATGAAATCTGTTGCATGCCCATTTTTTATTTCAATATATTGCCATTTCATTTTTTTTCAATCAGATGGCAGGCAGAATGTGGCATGTTGTAACCCAGTCTCCTTCTCTTGCAGAGCAGCACAGCAAGGTGAACCTCGAGGGATCTGGCACAGCGGCGATGCTGGCTTGCTCACCGAACTGTAAACCCACCTTCACACAAGGCCTCAAGTGTAGGTCCGTCTTGGAGGGGGACCCTGCACTCTTCCAGTGCAGGCTGGTGGCATGCCCAGCACCCCACATGGCCTGGTTTCACAATAACCGGCCAGTCCACCAGGACTACCGCAAGGTGATCCGGACTGAGAGTGAGGAGCACATGCACCATGCCAGCTTGGAGGTGCGGGATGTGCAGGAGCACGATGCTGGCAGCTACAGGGTATTTGCCATTAACAGTGAGGGCTCAGCTGAGTCCACTGCCTCGCTGCTGGTGGCACGCAGTGGGCAGCAGCAGGGCTTGGGTTTCGCAGGGAAAGCAGAGTGCATGCAGGAGAGCTGGGAGTGCATGCTTCAGCAGCGGCGGGAGGACCGGTTGCGGGTGGTGCTCCGCTGCACTGGCTCACCCTTTGACAAAGGGCAGGAGTCTGAGCAGTTGCTTGGGGACCTCTCCCCAGCGCGAGGCATGGTACGAACCATCTGTTTCCAGAGGCTGCCATTGGTGGGGCCTCACCGTCCAGGGCTGGCACATGGTAGGGAGCACAGTGGCACAGTGGCGGATGCTGAGGAGTTGCTGGATGAGGAAATCCGTTGGAAGCTGCAGCGGCTGCGAGAAGCAAAAAGGGCAGCACTGAAAAAGAAGCAGGAATCCCTCATGTCCATGCCCCAGGGGGGCCCTCTTGGGAATCCCAGCCCACGTGAGGCAGCTGCCACATTGGACAGGTCAGAGTCCGCTGCAGTGCAAGTAGTGAAGGGGTACCACAGGCCCAAGGCCACAGGAGAGGGATGGCAGATGCCAGGTGGGCTTCTGGACCCCTGCCCACCCCTCTTTGTCCAGGAGGTCAAGTCCCAGGAGGCTATAGAGGGGCACAGATGCACCTTCTCTTGCCTCTTCCATGGCCGCCCACAGCCCACAGTCACTTGGTACAACAACGCCAAGCCTGTGGGGTGCATCCGGGACACCGCTGTTCATACCACAGAGTGCTGCTCTACACTGACCTTCCCATCCCTGCTCCCACAGCATGGTGGCACTGTCACCTGCGTGATCTTCAACCCACTGGGCACAGTCAGCACCTCAGCTACGCTCCATGTGAGGCGGCAGATGCCAGCCTATGAGGCCATGAAGAAAGAGGAGAAAGAGGAAGGGAAGAAAGAGGACCAGGAGAAAGAGGAAGAGAGGGTGAAAGAGGAAGAGGAGGAGAAGGTGAAGGAGGAAGAAGAAGGGGAGACAGACAAGAAGGAGGAGGAAGAGGAGGAGAAGGAGAAGGGGGAGGAAGAGGAGGAAAAGGTGAAGGAGGAAGAAGGGGAGAAAGAGGAGGAGGAGGAGGTGGAGGAAGAAGTCTGCCTGGCCTTCGCAGCAGAGCAAGGACTGCCATGTGCAGTTCCAGACTCAGACGTGATGTCGCTGCCTGTGGAAATCAAAATCACTGCCGCCTCTCCAACGCCAGAGCAAGACACAGAGATGAGGGAGACTGTGTGGCCGTCTCCAGACCAGGCTTCTCCCACCATAAAGCACAAGTTCAAGTTTTCATTTGATGTGGGAAATGAGCCACCCCAAATTGTGGCAGAAGCCCCAGCACACCTTCATTGCCATGAAGGGGAGTCAGTGGTGTTGGAGTGTGCTGTGTCTGGGCAGCCCCCACTAGCTGTGGCCTGGTCCCTGAATGGCCAGAGCCTCTCTTCCAGTGAGAGGCTGAGGTTTGAGGAAGGCAAGAATGGCATGTATCGCTTACATATCCAAGGGGTCTCTGTCACTGATGCTGGGCTGTATTGTTGTGTGGCTGAGAATGTGGCCGGAGCAGCACAGACTGCCTCTGAGCTGACAGTGGAGCCCAGTGCACCCAGGTTGTATAGCAAGGATGGAGGCACTGAGGAACTGCCTGCCGTGGACCATGTTCTGCATCTCCAAGGTCTCAGCACACTTGGAAAAGATGAAGAGAAACAGATCACATGCTCCAAGGAGGAGGAAGTTCACCTGCCCTGCTCCCTGAGGCTGTCTCCATCTTCTGGTGAGAAGTTGGGAGACGAGTCTGAGAAAACTACTCACTACAGGGAAAGTGAGATGGAGGAAACGATGGTGCTGGATGTCATGGAAGATTATGCAAGGCAAGAAATGGGTTATACAGAAGGAAGTGTGAGAGATACAGATCGTATTTCTGAGATGAGGCAGCACAGTGGAAAAGCTGTGTCCGAGGAACACAGCTTTGCAATTGATGCCACTGAGCTGCACCCCAGCGTGGCAAGGGAAGAGCATGAACTGGTGGCCAAGGACTCAGGTCACTTTTCAGAAGAACTGGAGACTGAAGGAGAGAAGGTGGCAACACATACAGATACTCTGTCCTGGGACATCTTGAAGTCACCATTTATGGAAATGAAAGGGCAAACTCATGCCTCTGAGCAGTCTGCTCTGGCAAGGGAGTGTAAAGATTCACAATTTTTCATTCCTACGTCACCTGTGGTGCAGGAGGGGAGTGATGTTTACATGGAGGAGAATGGTGCCCCTGCCTGTGAGGCAATGTCTCCTGGTGTGCCTGTTGTAGAAGAGCCAAGTGTGACCCACCTGCAGGACAACATTGCAAACACACCTGCAAAGGAGCAGTTTGGCTTTTGTGGCTTTGGTACAGAAGAGCAGCAGGAGGAACAGGCCAAGGAGCAAGAGAGACAGGTTGATATTGAACAGGACACTGAGGTTGATTATCATCTTTCTAAAGAAGAAATGACTGATGCTGGGGATGCCACACACTGGGAAATGCACAATGATGGACAAATGCTGCAAGAAATGGAGTGTGACACAGGCAACTCTTCTTTAGATCTAATCCTCACTCCTCCTGGAATAGAAAATTCAGGTCAGGATTTTACTGAGGAAGTTGAGGTTCACCTAGAAGAAGTGCATTTCAGAGAGCAGCTGTTGCCATCTGAAATGGATGAGACCAATATCACACTTGATCTGAAGAAGTTTGTGGAGCCTTTGCCAGCTGCAGATACTATGGACACAGAACAGGCAGAAGCCCCCACAGCTCTGGAGAGCGTGGAGGCAGGGGTGACTGTGCTTATCTCCCCGTTGCACCAAGGTGATGTACTTGTGGAAGAGACGTCTCTGAGTGAGGAGCTGCATCAGAGCTACAGGATGCAGCAGGAGGAGGTTGGTGCCCAGAAAGAGACACAATCAAGAGAAATCAGAAGGGCTGATTTGCATATCCCTAATGGGGACCTTGGCAGCATCATGAAATCTGCTGAAGAGGGATCTTGTGCTAAAGAAATTAATGAGTCAGAGGTGAGTGTCTGTGGGGAGGATTCACTTGAGGGACAAATTAATAGTTTTCTGCTGGAGTCTACAGCAGATTTCCAAAGAGGAGCGCAGGAAGCACGTGTGTGGGAGAGTGGGGAACAACTGGAGACCACAGACTCCCAGAGTAACAGCTTCATCATTGACTTGAAAAAAGCTGCAACTGAAAAGAAACCCCAGGCTGGGCATCAGGCTGAGGAGGAAGAAGGTTCTGGGATAGAAAAGGTCTTTGAGACAGGAATGAGAAGTTCCACCTGTGGGAGAGAAAGCACAGATTCCCCCGAGGAGATGCTCAGGGACACCCAACAGGAACGAAACACAACCAAGGGCTTCTCTTTTGGGCAACTCTTACTTGGTTTAATAACGGATGATCCTGTGGCACAGAAGGAGCAAAGGAAGGAGTCTTTGGGCAAGAAGAGGACTCCCACTGAGGAAGCCTCTGAGAATAGCCTGGATGGAGAAAGACTGCAGGAGGATATTTCTGCAGGTCCAGAGCCCAGTGCTGTTCAAGCCTCAGAGCTGGAGCCTGACTTGTCCCTGGCCAAGTATTTAAGGACAACTGGGACACAGGAAACTCCAGATCTCAAAGGGACAGTTCAGAAGGAGCAGCGAGAGACCATCACTTTACTGGAAGTAGAGGAGGTTACCTTCAGCATGGTTTACAACTTGGAATTTGCCCGGCCCTTCTCTCCTGAGTCGGAAATGTCTATAGAGCTGGAGAGCAGGAGCGGAGAGGAGTCACCTGACTCAGACCGCTTCTACACACCTCCCTCCTCAGTGGAGATCTTTGAAACTGCTTCATCAGCATCCTACCACACACCACTCAGCACACCTGAGCGCTACTCCACACCATCTGAGGGCTCAGGATACAGCACACCACCTGAGCGCTACTCCACACCATCAGAAGGCTCAGGGTACGGCACACCACCTGAGCACTACTCCACACCGTCGGAAGGCTCAGGGTACAGCACACCCCCTGAGCACTACTCCACACCCTCGGAGGGTTCAAAGTGCAACACACCCTCAGAGCGCTACTTCACACCATTCGAGGGACCTCGCTCTGCATCAGGGGACAGCACGCCACCAGAGCGCTACCGGACACCTACTGGGGAGTATATGGATGCCCTGACCATGCTCCCCCTTTGTGAGAGGAGGGAACAGACTCCAGATCAGCCACAGACTGAGGTGTTTAGGACCCCCCGTGAAGCCCTGGAGCCATCAGGCAGGGAGATGCCACCTGCATTCCTCAAGGCATTGAGCAGGAAGAGGCTGTATGAAGGCAGCACGCTGAGCTTGGTGGCTGAGGTGGTGGGTGTACCCAAGCCAGGGGTGAAGTGGTATCATAATAAATCTCTGTTGGAGCTGGATGAGAGAGTGCGGATAGAGAAGGATGGGGACAAATGCGTGCTGGAGATCACTAACATCCAGAAAGCAGATGGAGGACAGTATCTGTGCCATGCAGTGAACATTGTTGGGGAAGCTAAAAGTATTGCGCAGGTGGAAGTTTTGTCTGCAGATGGGCGGTCACTAGCACTACCACCCCCTGTCACCCACCAGCATGTTATACACTTTGACCTGGAGCAAAACACATCTTCAAGGTCACCTTCACCACAGGAAATCCTCCTGGAAGTAGAGCTGGATGAAAATGAGGTGAAGGAGTTTGAGAAGCAGGTCAAAATCATAACCAGCCCTGAGTTTAGCCCAGATAAGAAGAGCATGGTGGTTTCCCTGGATGTCCTTCCTCTTGCCTTGTTGGAGCAAGCTGCAGGCTTGGCTGCAGAGGAGAATGAGGATATAAAAATTGATTTCCAAGTAACTGAAATGCCTCCTCGCTTTGCTGTGCCCTTTGCAGATGTTGAGGTGATAGAAGGCTTGGAAGCAGTGTTTGAGTGTGTGGTAACAGGTACTCCTGTCCCAGTAGTGCAGTGGTTCAGAGGTGAAACCTGTGTGACATCTGCCACAGGGAAGTACGTTGTGAGTCAGAAGGAGGGACTTCACAGTCTGAAGGTCCAAGATGTAGGTCCTTCTGATGGTGGCTGGTATCATTGTCGAGCAATGAATAGGCTGGGAGAAGCAGTGTGCAAAGGCTCCCTTGTAGTCGTGGCTCAGCAGGAGGCAAGTGCTAAGGCAAGTGGTGAGACAGTCACGGGCAGTGAGCCACACAGGCCCCAGAAGTGTGACTTGCTTTTGAGTAAGACTGTGAGCCCAAGTGACCAGTCTGAAATAGAGCTGGAGTTTGAGTTCAAGCCGCACAGTGATGACTCAGAGAAAGCAATTGGACTGTTTGCAGTGACTCAGCAAGAGGAGGAAGTGGAAGGGGAGAAGTGTGTCAACATTAGTTTTGACGTGTTTGCGGAACCATCCCAAGAGGAACGGGTTGAGTTTAGGGCAGAGGACTCAGAGAGCTGCAGCTTTGAGTTCCAGGTCACAGAAGCCCCTCCTAAATTTCTGAGGCTCATTTCTGACTACAGTACATTTGTAGGTGCCTCAGCATGCTTCCAGTGTCTTGTGACTGGTTCCCCTCACCCAAGTGTCCGCTGGTACAAGGATGGGGTGTTGTTGGAAGGGGACAGGTTCTCTGCACAGGAAGAGCAGGGGGGGTCTCATAGCCTTACTATTGAAAACTTGATGCAAAGTGACGGTGGGCAGTACAAATGTATAGCTAGTAACAGGGCAGGAACTGCTGAGACTTGTGCTGTGTTAACATTATACTAAATTTCCATAATTTATTTCAGAGTCTCTTTGGAAATACTAAATGTTTTTATGCTGTTGTTCACTGCAGGTACAAATGCAGCACTCATTTTATGGGCATTGTTTTTTGTCTCTTTAGGGATGAAAACCACTTTATGTGGGCATATTTCTGTCTCACTTAAACTTGCCTTCATTGGGAAATTTAAGTGAGATTTAATCTGTGCATAGGTTTTGTGCACACTTTCTGCACCGAGGTATATTTCAGGCTCCTTCCAAGCTCCTTACTCATTCTTGTAAAAATATTTTAATTGACACTAATTTATGTAGGACTAATTTTTTTCATGTAGTGTACATATTCTTGTGTGTCTGTAACAGTGCAATCATTATTGGTTTATGTAGGCTAGAAATCACCTGAAAATGTAGAAACCACATTTTTCTTGTAACCTAATGGTGTGGAATATTAACTGTTCATTTTGGATATAGTTCTGTGAAAGAACGCCTTAAATTGGTAATCTCCCTTCTCACAATGTTGTGTCAGAACATGTGAGTCTCATTGATCCAAATCCTGTGTTTACAGTTTCTATCACTGCAAAATTCTTGCATCTATGGGCCTCATTCTACTGACTCATGGAATTAAATTGCCCTTTTTTTTTTTTTTTAAGTCAATGGAATTATGCTGTTGCAAAGAAAAGCAACACAATGAGAAGAAAAGGAAAATTTTGCATTAGTAGAGACTGGACAGGATTTTTTTTCTCTATTACCAAGTAATAAATATGAAAACATATTTTGTACTGTATCTTTAGAAGTTAAAGGAGAGGGAGCATAATAAATAATGATGTAACTGTAAATTCATTAAAATAATTTTGGTTGTCCCCGTATTCCAGTGTCATTCATAAAAAATACATAGTAATAAAAAAGTGAGATATTTTTATGCTGTATTCTTGTTTCACATTAGAACTAAATCTCTACATATTCCTTTCTTCTTCTTTTTTAATTAGTAACAGTTAAGTGTGCTATGTGACAAAATGACCAGAAATAAGTAGATACATTAAATTGTTATCTGTGGCATTGTCTCAGCAGTAGAGATTTTTACATTGATGTTCTCAATGCGAGTATATATGTTTGTATTTAAAATATTTCTAATGTTTAGGAGGAGGAATCAGCATTAGCTGACATAATTAAGTCAGAACTAAATCTATCTTACACAAACAAATTGATTAAGAGCATATCTTAAAAGTAAGGAAGTTATTAATTAATGTTTATCAGAAGTTAAATAACTCTCTAATACATTTGACAGCTTTCCAGTTACCTGTATGCCAAGGTGACACCTTGAGTTCAACAGCACTAAGCAAAAATTATTTTTACTTTGATTACCTTTTCATGAGGTTCTTCCAGTTATTTACAAATTACTGTCAGTTACCTTACAAACTGCTTTAAGGAGCATGGCGATTTTAACCATAAAATAACTATTCCTATAGTACATTCAGTTATCTTCATGCATGTTCTTATTTCTGAGTTTGATGCGCCCTCACACTGAGGTCAGTATGCCTCCAAAACTCAATAATCTTTTAAGACTATTCCATCACACATCTGCAATGGTAATTTTTAATCAAAAGATTCACTTTGCCCAATTGTGTTGCCTGATATAAACTTAAAGTTGGCAGTAGCAGGTTCTAATGACCTAGTACATGGAGAAGATGATGAGTGGTTAGGCTAATACCAATGTGTCACTACAGTTTCTTCCCAGGCATGATAGATAACTAAGATTTCTACATTGTTAAAAGGCAGAGATAATTGTGATATCTAGTAGGTAATGGTAGGAAAGAGCAGCATGAATGTCTGACATTGTGTTTGGAAAGAATTGCTTCATGATGTGTCCTTAATCCATTCCTTGTGTAGATGTGTAGCACTAACTGATTCATTAGACAGCAGAGGTCCCTAGGGAGGTTGGCGTGAATTGTCTGATGTTGTACATCAGCTGTGATGTGAGGGTTCTTCCAGGTCCAAAGCCAAAGAGGTCAGAGGCCCTTTGGTTAGGTCCTAAGCAATTATGACATGTTTAATTTGCACATAAATGAACTGAAATTTTTAGTAGAAACAGGCCCATAACTTGTTTTTGAAGCCATAAGCCAAACAGGTCCAAGTTCCTGTTCACATCTGAAATATATGGCCAAGCATCTTTATCTCTACCTGTGAAGCAGTGTCTGTGGTTTATGTACGTTTAATAGTCTTGTTTTAAGTTTCATACACTAGCCAGAAGCAATATCATGTGCTTATAGAGAGACAAATTCTCACCTAAGCTACAATGATATAAATCTGGAGTAATTCTAGTTTTGAATAAACTTACTCTGAGGCAACTTGTGTAGCTTAGAGCAATGATTGACCATCTCTCTTCAAAAATTTTGTGCTTTCATAGGAATTACAAAACTCACAATTTAATTGTCAGGTTTAATGTCGTCTTCATTTCTACAAACCAAATATCTTAAAAAAAGGATGAATTATGTTTGTTTGTCATTGATACGTATTGAATGTTAACATGTATGGTTAATTTGTGAAATAAATATGTAATTTATTTAAGTCCATTGCTTCTTGTAGTTTATTTGTTTCACAGACATAGCTAAAATATGAAAAAATATATGGATAGTTTTTCTGTCACAAATATCCAGGACAACAGAAAAGTGTGGAATTTTTTGCCACACTCCTGTATATAAAGCATTCTCATGCATGTTAGCATAGGTTCCATTCTGCAATTTTTATACTTTATTATGGGCCCAATTCTGCCACCCATTCTCAAATTCACTAGCATGTTGCATTTTTGGGGAAACTGCCCTACTGTTTTAACAAGGTAATACTGGTAGGTAATACTGCAGGACTGGTGTAATTATTTCTTTTTTTTACCTAAGCATCTCTTCTCTGCAGTTAATCACTGTATGCACTGTGCTGTCATGTACATTATGGTATTTGTGGCAAGATTAATAATTGCTAAAACCAATTAGAAAGAATTGGGTATGGCATATTCTGAATTACAGTTGTTATTGGAGTGCAGCAAAATTTATTATCTTAAAATAACTTTTGGAATTTAGGACACTGCAACTGAGAAACTTATCAAGTTTCACCATTAGAGCACCTGGAGACATTTATCAACTCACATTTCTTTTATTCTTTTTTAACAACTCACATATATTTCCAGCATACTATGGGCCTTAACTGAGCAAACTTGACTCAGAAAGAACAACAGGATTCGATTTCCATAAGTTTTCTTTGTGCCGTGCTTTTCATGGATGGTTTATTCCATTCCTGGAAGTCTCAGATTTCACTGATGTTTCTAGTGTCAAGCATCTGCAGAGAATGACCTGTGCTTGACATCTGCTCCCTCTCATTTTTAAACCACCATTAGAACAAAGTGGTCTAACACATAACTATCTAAATTCAGAAAGGCAAGAAAAAGAAAAACCTTAAGTGCTCTGTCCTCTTTTTCTCTGGTATTGTGGGTGTTCTAATATGCAACATTGTGACTTGGAGGAGTTTAAAAGCAGAGATTTACATCAATGACATTAAAGGGTGCAAACTCATTATTTTAGTAATAACGGTGTTGTAAGCATTAGGGTCTAATGACAAAAACAGGACAAAGGTGGCAAGGGAGAGGTAATCTTAGTGTATCAGACAAAAAGTAGAGTTGAAAGATATGAACTAACTGCTCCAGAAGAAAGGTTGGTGCACTGAAAAGTTTGCACTATTTTTCCAATCCTAATTCTAGCATTCTGCTTTTTCTTGGTGTTTTGAGTTAAACCAGGGTCTTAGCACTGCTCTGCTGTACTTGTTTATATGAGTGTACATACAAATATGTATGGCACATACCACTTTAATTTTATTTGTGAAATACACCGATGTTACTTGACTGCTACTTGCACTGTACACCCCAGGGGTGTGCCTAACCCATACTGTGATGTCACGTTTAAAGAGACACCCATGTTGATCCAAATGGGAAGTTTGTAAGTAACCTGACAGCACAGCATGTCTTGATGTTTTTGGCAGGTGTGTATTTGACAGCAAGAGGACCTCATATTATTTGTTAACTGCTGTACAGTATTGAGAAGGTCTCCAGATATACAAAAATGTTTGCGCTGTTTGTTGCTATCTACAAGTGTTCTCTTAAACATTCTAGTAAAACTAAACTGTTTTTTTCCATACAGACATTTCTAGCTCTCTTATTGTGTCCTCTGAGGAAGGAAGAAGTGAAGGCTACAGCAGTGGCCTTCAGTTGCCTGATACAGAGAAAACACTTGAATTTGAGCCTGAAAAAACAGTTTACTCCAGCAAAGCAAAGATGAAAATGGAGGGGGATGGTAAAGCCCCTGTTTTCCTCAAACAGGTCTCAAATGTTGAAGTCTGTCAGGGAGATGTAGCTAGGCTCTCTGTTACTGTTATTGGCAGCCCCACGCCCAAAATCCTGTGGTTTTTCAATGGTATGAAGCTAACCCCATCCATGAACTGTAAACTAGTATTTGCTGGCAATGACCACAGCCTCATCCTCCCATATGCAGGTGTGCAGGATGAGGGGGAGTACACGTGTGTGGCCAGCAATGTACATGGTGAGACCACATGCAGTGCCCACCTCCACGTGAGGCAGCGGATAACAGGGGTCCCTTGCTTTGCCAGGGAGCCAGAGAGCATGCAGTGTGCACCGGGCTTCACCGCAGTCTTTGAGTACACTGTGGCTGGAGAGCCATGCTCTGATGTGCAGTGGTTCAAGGGGAATGAGCAGCTCTTCTCTGATGCACGTCATTCTGTTGTTCACCATCCTGACGGCTTGGGCTCCCTGACAGTGCGGGAGTGCGTGGAGGAGGACACTGGGCTCTACATGTGCAGGGCGGTGAGCACCCTGGGTGAGGCCACATGCTCTGCTGAGCTCCTTGTGCTGCCTGAAGAGCATGCTGTGTGCAGGCAGAGCCCAGCCTTGCAGCACCCTGCAGTGGCAAAGGACCAAAGCCCTCTCTTCTATGAGGAGGCTGGGGAGGTTCCTG